AACCCTGAAACAACCTCTGGGCTGATCTAAGTGGGCTTTATCACGTGACTCTACGAATATCATTAACATGTACTGGAGAATAATATTATCTAATGTTATTACTTGAAAATATGTTTGTAGTAAATTTAATTACCGATAGATTGTCGATATTCTTCACACGGAAGACGCAGGGAAATGCGATACACCCAAGATTCAGCCTACGCCCCCTCCCCTTCAATCCCCCCTCAAATAGTATTTGTACTGGCTTTACAGAGACGAATCATATATTGAGGTAGTGAATAGCATTGAGTCCTCACCCCCTACCCCCTTAGTACTAATTGCCTAAAAAAAGTTAAGTGATGTGTGCGTATTTATGCGTGGTCTGGAAGTCTGTAGACTGAGACTGGAGCCTTTTTGACGAACATCTAGTGCTAACCGTGGATTCGTAAACCATTTTAAAGACATTTCCATCAACAAAACAGATGTCCTGTTATTTTTAATACTGTTTAATACCAGTTAAACAGAACTGTCCTTGTCTTGAAGTACAGATGCATGACGTCACAGGAAGGATTGATGTTTGAACTGCGTATGGTGTTTTACAGTACAGATATGAGCATTGGCATTCAGATAGGTTTGTTCATATACCCAGCGTTCAAATACGAGAAAATGGAAGGGTTTGATCTTCCTTTATGAAGATAAATGTAGAATGCAAAATATAGAAATAATAGTAAATAAAAATTGAATGAATGAATGAATGAGTTTGAAGTAAATTCAACTTCACCGATTATCACATGTAATAATACACTAAAAATTTTTGTATTCTGATCCCATTCTTTGTAACTAGAAACTAGATATTTCAAAGAAATAATAGTTAAATCATCTTACCTGCCATATCCGTTGTCTGGAGGACTAATAGATGACTAATAGATCTGAAAAACAAGAGGGTAGAGTTTTGAGGCGCCCACGTTACTTTACATCAGCAGTAAACTTTCTTATAATATGCGCAAATGTCTGCTAGAATCGAATAAATTACCATAAACCGTTTCTGAAGATAGTACATTGCAATACGGTGCATTGTGGTCTTTTGTCTATCTTGCCTTATATGGTGTTGTTTGTACCGAAGCAAGACCTCAATGCATCCTGTTTTTCGAACTGGAAAATGCTTATTAGATAATATGTGGATACTATTTCTGTCATTGCGTTTAAAGATTGATATATTGTTTCTAGATAGTGTAACGTTTTATGGTCACCGGGACTGACCGCGAAATGATATGCATGTGTGCAAATGTCATTTACTTGACCAAACTAAAATAACTGTCATCAAAAAAAGAACAAAAATATCATTATAAAAAATCTGTTAAACCTTTCCATCAATGAATTTTCATAAGTCGTTATTTTCAACAAGGAGATTCCGAGCTGAAAATTTAAAAACAATGAATCATAAACAAAATGCTTGCTCATTGGTTAATTCTCTAGGGCCTTGTGAAAATAATAGACCAATGAACTGTTCTTTTGTAGCTGACATATATGCTTCGTAATCTGAAGAATTTTTCTTTTTGATCTGGATTCCTGGTTTAACGTATAGGCGTGGCGCACTGAGATTTTTTTATTATTATATAGTAATACTCAAGAGAATGATCCCAATGATACTCCCAACAGCCACCAGTCTACTTGCTTTTCGTTGCTATATTCAGAATCGGAAAGGGTGGATCATCAGGGGGTTATTAATCTTTATCCGTCTATTCTTCTATTATTACTATTCGCATCTACGTACAGTAATCTATCCGTCAGCTATACACATGCCTTCCTGTATGGTTTCACCAAATCACATCGAGTAGAAAACGATTTTTCCAGGAGAAAACCAACCTGAGTTAAATAATGACTGTGATCGACTTTTTTAGTGTTTCCGAGGAAAGAGGACTAGTTGCGAATAAATGCGGTTAACATCGAACACTTTCGATATCAATGAATCAAGGAAGATTCAGTTTCGTTCCATGATCAAACCATCCCGGCCGGAAATATGAGGCAGAAGTCGAATTCTTTATTTTATGCAAAAAGACATAGACAAACCATGCCTGAATGATATCGATAATATTTCAAATGAAAGCCTAATAATACCTAATATCTGTTTAGTAAGCTTACTCTTTCTCTAAACAATGATAGAGTTTTGACTAACCTGATGCCTGGACCAAAAACTGTTTATCTAGGATCAAACTAAGTCTTCTCAAATCAAAATAAAATTCACTATTTTTGTCATTTTTCATTCTGAGGCTAAATTTTCACAAAACCATGACATAATGTATCTAACAGTTTGTCTAATGTAGTCAGCATTAATATCCTTGTTGCACGAGGAATTTTTTTCTTTTTTCAGTACATTTCTACTGATAACGATACATACCAATATTAGATGAATAATTTGATGTGCAACTGTTTAGCCCTTCTTTATTTCACGGTCTTGGTTTTTACAGCGAGTTTTTTTCCCCTCCGTAGAGTGAAGAGTGGCGGTTCTACTATTCAACAGACGCTGCTCGATGCTTCAAGTACGATTCTTTCCGTACTCATAGATGACAGATAACTTTCTTAAAGGAATTGTCTTAGTTCCGCCAGGATGTAAAATAGAGCTTTGTTTATGCGGATCAAACCCGGAAATTCCTAACAAACCACGACCGCAGAGACTAATGGGTATTTTCCAGACCATGAGGAAGTTGCCTATAGCAACAGGGACTCAAGTGTCGAGCGTTGAATAATGTTTCATCTGGTAATGTAATGTAATGTAAATTTGATCTTCTGTCTTTTAATGTCACTTTTGATCTGTCTGTCTGTCACGAGCAGGTCCATACTCAAACTCGATTCCAGAGCCTTATTTCTTACTGCACATGCTCGAAAAATAAAATATCATTTCATCGAGCATGCGCAGTAAGAATAAGGTCTCTGGAAACGAGATTGACCATTCTTCTTTTGTCCGTTGAAATTTTTCTGCCTGCTTCTCTGATTCAGTTTTAACTTCATTATTATCAACTATCTTTCTTTCTGACATTCTTTTTTATTATCAGACTTGGTTTGTTTCACATGTGATTATCACGGGGAAAGAGAGTGTCAGACGGCACTAATTTAGTACATCATAGATGTCATATGGTATCCAGGAAGATATACTTGAAAAAATTATCTCTTGAAAAAAATGTCATAAGAAGTATAAGATATCTACCGATTCTATCAAATAATACTGCACTTGATAATGATAGGAATACACTAAACAATCACAGGAACTAAGCATTATTGGTACAAGATCGAAAAGAAAGTACTCGTAGTTCGAACCAACTGGCTGTCATGGATGCCGTCATCCTGTCAGTATCATCGAAAATTATGCTTTTATTGGTTATGATTCTCGAACATTAAATGGTTATCTACCTCGGCAATGAAATTGCCTACAGTGAAGTTAGTTTCCTCATGGCTGGATATTCAAAACTACTGTTCTTCTGTTATAATCGAACATTAAATGGTTATCTACCTCGGCAAACAAATTGCCTATTGAAGTTAGTTTTCTCATGTGGCTGCTATTCAAAACTACTGTTTTTCTAACTGTTATAACTACAATATCTATTAACTATTACCGTTATCATTATTATTTATGTATAGTTTAATAAATGAGCAGGATTAGGCGCAGCCGAATGGTTTTAGACCTGATAAAACACGATCTGCAAGTTTATTGAACGACTTCAAAATGTCATGAATACTTAATGAGCATTTAGGGTCCTTATTCGTGCCATGCTCTTGTACTCTTTTGGTCCTTTATAAAGATTTCAAAATCTTTATATAAAGATATCCATGTTGAACTATTAGCAGGCATAAAGATCCATGCACGTGATGGATTTGAAGGACCTGATAGGTGCAAATGCTCATTAATTATTCATGAATTTTTGAATATCATTTTTTTATTATTGACTAAATTAATCGACTAATAGTGTATTCAATAATACACTTAATATATAAGTATTATGTTAAACCAGTTCTTTTAAGGTTATTGATAAGAACATGCAAGGAAAATGACAAATTCATAGTTTAAATCGGTGCCTTTTATTAATATCGAACCCTGAACCAATCTGTGGAAGGATCTAATTGTTGAAATCCTTCCTAGCTTATTTTAAAAAAATCATCATTATCCGATCTTTTTTAGAAAAGATAGAAATGAGGACACTTAGCAATTGTTACCCTCGTCTAGCGCAAGGGTCCTATTTCGCTTCGGGTAAGTTTCCGATCCCTTCCGACCTTCCCGTCAAAACAACAAAAACCGGAGCGATAATAATTAACCTCTGGACCTTAGGGGTAAGCAACTGTATTTATACGATAGATATTTTCACTTTCGCTTTCTTACTTGGATCTCTAACATATATTTTCCATTATTTTCGGGATGGTTTCCTCCATTTCCTGTACAACTATTCCCAAAATAACTTATCTTCCTGTTTTCAGTTTTTCGTTTCATTATCTCTTTATTCGGTTATTAAAACTGAGAACTCCATTTGTTCCCTTGGGGTCCTATTGAGCTCTAATAATTGATAAGTCCTCGGGTAGGTGGTATCCTAGGATACTTGAATCGTTCCTGCAAGGACCAGCGAGTTTCTCTGCACTAGTCTAGCAGTAACGGAAACATTACTGCATTGTTTTTATCTTGAGACAATGTTCCAAGTTTATTTCCTGTAGTGGTATTTGCTAAAGCGGTGTTTGTGCTATCTCATTCAGCAGTGTCACGTTATCGTCCAACTACGAGAGGCCATTATTTCTATTTCTGAACAAACGTATCATAAATTAATAAATAACAGGAAACATGAACAAGAAAAATAAACGCGAACAAGAACATAAATAACAAAAACTCACTAAGCAAAGATTCGCTGAAAATCTGAAGTTTGAATTTTTATTTTTGCTATTTTTGATGATAAAAAATGCAGGCAGTTGAACCGTGTCTGTTACTGAAATCAGTTCATGACGTTGTATCACACGATATTATACACTATATTTATAAAGCAATATAAAATTGTAAAATAAAAATAAAGATGTACTAATAATATAATATAAGGTTTCATGGTAGACATACTGTATAATTCTAAAGTGATCTGTCTATTATTCATGTTAACTGCTTCGCTCGAGAAAAGCTTTGTCTTGCTGTAGATAGCATAGACTAATGGCGACAGAGTAGCTGATAGACTTGGAGACCGGAAGATGAAAGAAGATTAGTTTCTCTATCGACCCGAATCACTTTGAACTTAACACACAAATGATCACTTTGCAAAGGCTTATTTCTATGATTATTAATCATTTATTAATCATCAATAAAATATAAAATATACCACATTTTTATAACTTTATCTACCTGAACTGAATTCAAATTTGTATTCATTTCAATGTATGTTTAATTACCGTCACTCGACCTCGGCAACTGATACCAAGCTCTAGCATTAATTCATAATCATCGCGACTAGATGTGCAGAACACTTCTGATTACAATGAAATTTTCGGTCTTTCAGCTTGCTATGTTTCTTGGCTCAACTAACAGATATTTGTAGAATACATGTGATTACAAGTAACGGTTCTTAATGACTTCAAATGCTTTACCAACAGGCTTATTATACTCTTATTTAGTACACAGTTCATCCAGTTACCGTTTATACTAACAACTGAACTATTTATCATTGTTAGTAACCAAAATACAGATATTCTACTACATGTAGGTATACTTACCGTGTTTAGTTGTTTGGGAAGGTTATTTATCGACCTTGGACATGAGTTCTGTAAAAAATTCGAATGACAAAGCTGTTCTTACATCAGTTAGTCGTAATACTTCCTGGTTGGGTTCACGTGACTTGGATCTTTTTCCGGAAGCAAAATGTCACGCAATCCAGCTAACTCGACGAACCCGGATGTGGCGGATGACTTCTAAACCCAAGATCTATGTAGTCTGACTCAACTGCGATAAAACACTTTTTAACCCAAGATCAATAATTTATTTACAACTGAAAATATTCCCCAAAAATCTTATTTTGTAACAATATATTGCAAATCGATAAAGGAAAACAAATGAGGCCTTGATTCATTTGTCTGCTAAAAATGCTAAGAGATTGATAAAGGGGGACTAGCACGTAAATCATCCGAATTTTAATTCAGCTGAAACTTTACTGGAATAACCTTAAAGGTCTAATGAACACTGGTTAAAGTTGTTTTTTTTGATATTCGAATGGGAAGTATTGTATTTTTGAGAATTTTTATAGGAGTATGTGACGTCATACACTCAAAACTAATCATCGCTCTCTACATTTTTTGTATTTTGCAATCAAAATATCCGCTAGATTTATACTCAGCATTGAAGAAAAGATGCGATAACATGTTTCTAACAACAAGCTATGTACGTTAAGTCCCTCAGCGGACCTTTGGGCTTATAGAAATAAAGTATGGAGCAATGTTTAGTGTTGAGTGTATGACGTCACAGACATCTATAGAAATTCGTAAAAATATAATACTTCCCATTGGAATATAAAGAAAAAACTTTAACCAGTGATTATTAGACCCTTAAAGATTATTTCAATAAAGTTTCAGTCGAATTAAATTTTGGAAGATTTACGTGCTAGTCACCCTTCAATAAAAATGTCAGGTACTATTTACAAAATATTTTGAAAAATAAGAAGAATTCAAAAATCCCCAAAACCCTGAGAATTATTTAAATAGATCTCTTTAGTTTGAGCATAATATTTTGCCCATGCATTTTTAAAACGTGTCGTTCCCTTCAGTATCCTTTTTTTGTTTTGGATGGAAATGAAACCAAAAATTTTAATCTCAAAGGAATGACACCTTGGTCTGAACGCCCAAGCTAAAGATGATTATCAACTGCTATTACCTCCACCCCTCCCAAATGCGGCTAACAGGAAACCGATAGAAAGGGAATCATTTTTATCAAGAAATGTTATAGTTTTCAGTATTCTTCTGTTTCGTATTCAAGATGGCCGGTCTGTTGTGACTCAAGCTTTGAGAATTTTAAATAGTGAGAGAGAAAAGTCCACAAAGGTTGTTCTTTCCAATAAGAATTCATTGACATAAATTTTCTACTTTTTCTTCAGGAATCGAAGTGCTTGGATCTTCTGTTGAAGAATCCTGCGGCTTTGGTTTCATGTTGTCAGCGGTTGCCTCCACTGCTTCTACGTCACATGGAATCATTTGTGTGTATTCACAGCCCTCGGACTGAAAGTACTCCTTGTAGTTACTGTTACAATTACAGGTTCCACCAATCACAGCATGGAACAACTCTGAAACTACATCAGGAGAAATAGTAAGTGTATGATGTCATGATCACGTGACAATCACGAGTAAGTCCTTGCATGCAATATTCCATGCCAAAATAAAAACGGAGCTTTTTGGATAATAATTTTAAAGATTGTAAATACCTGTAAGTTTTAAACGAGACCTTCCGACCATGCGCAGAACGAATAGGTTAATTAGGGCAAAAATACAGACAACAAAGCCCACGATTAAAAAAGACAGCGGTCCTTCTTTGGCAAATTCCTGGGGGAAATTTAAGAACAAAAAATAAAATTTCTTTGTCACCAAAAAATTAAGGCTCAAGTCACGTGGTTACGTTACCTTGCCAACGAGAAGAGGTATCAGCATTTCTCCACTTGCAGAGCTAACTATCATAATAGACGTTAGAGAGCCTGGAAAATATGTCCAGAATATGAGCCTTGGATGATAAGGCGCATGCATAAAATTACGAAACGTTTTTCGGCAAAAATTGAGCCCGTGAAATACGCACACATAAATTAACCAACTTATCCTGATCACATGACCCTACGCCCTTATTTACTTGTTGCGATGTGACGCACTGGGTGACGACCCTCGGCGTATGCCCAAACGGAAGACTACCGAGTCAGGGTCGAAGTTTCTCAGTACTTAACAATTGAGAATAATAATAATAATAATAATGATAATAATATTGATAATAATGATAATTATTATTATAATTATAATTATAATTATAATAATAAAAAGCAAGTAAAGCAAAAACGACTCAGCGAAAAGAGAAAGAAAAAGGGACCTTAAAGAGCAGAAACCATGTAGAATTCAACTTTTTCTCAAGACAGACACGGTGTTTCTTTTTTGCTTTATGGAAAATATTTCTGTTTAGCGCTAAACGTTTCTAAAGGATAAAAGTATTTGACAAAAATTTACCTGATACTTCAATGTAGAGTTCTGCTACTGCAAGAGTCGATGGAAACACGCTGCTCATGAAGAGGCCAAGCAAACACGTGCCAATCCAGAGAGATAACGGATAGGCATGAAGATAGAACAGGATGGACATGGCTATGAATGAACCAACCTGCAATGATCAAGTATTGCAAATAAGCAACGACCAGCGCCATCTACACAGAGAAGGATTCTCAGTAACTCACCAGGTTTGTCATTAACATTTTATCAGGTCGAACACACATGGACAAAAAGATAGAAAAGAACCTTCCAGTGGCGAAAAGACACTACAAGAATAACAAAATAGAACTATCAGAATCATTCATTTGACAGTAAGGTTGTTCGAGTGATCATGGATAATAGTACAGTGATGTCATAACAAAGGGATGTCATGTGATGAAGACATGATATCATAGTATATGTAGAATAGTACAGTGACGTCATTTATAGGTGGTGTCATGTAATGATTGTAACCATGGTTGTAACCAATGCACCAAAACTTACCCAGAATAGAGAATTAAGATAAGCACCGTGACTTGGCTTGAAGTGTACGTCACTTTTAACAGCATAGGTGTACAGGTAACCACCATACGCACCCTGCAACCAATGGAATCAGTTCATACATGCAATATATATATATAGGTTGAGCTTGTGTCTGCATTTGCAGTCTTTGACTGTTCCTTTCAGATCATAATATCTAATTGAATAAAACGTTTGAAATTCAACGTGCGTGCTGATTGGCTTACTACCGTGGCTATATCAAGATAGATACAAAAAATCGCAAAATCGCTCAAAAAAATAAGAAATAAAAAGCGATATATAACGGCCGCTTATGTCTCTGTACTGTGACATAAACACTCTGGGGTTGTAGAGCCCTCGAACTTCAAAAGAAACAAACTTGCTTCTCCCTTGCTTCTCCTGTGCTCTACAGCTCCCAGGTAAGGAGAGATGGGCGCGTTTTATATGGCTTCAAATAAATCTCTATCGCCTAACCATGGGCAGAACTAGCCAGGGTTATGTCACTTACTTGTAAGCCATCAAAGAAGAATAGAATCAATCCACAGAGGAAGGTTATGATGGGCACTTTGGCTAATACATCACCATAGGAACTCTTGACAGGCTGAGCTTCGATCGGTCTGAATATCTGAGATAACTCTACAAAAAGTGACCATTATCAACAGCATCACACTGATTCATACTCTTATTATGTACTGGTATCCTTTTCAAATTTATTACTATGAAAAATGGAGACGATCATTTTATGTTATTTGAGCTGCACTGTTTTAGCAACAAGAAGATGCAGACGTGTCGTGTCATCATTATAATCATTATATTAAGCATTATTAATTATTACCAATCATTGTTAATCAGGATAAGATATATTTGTGCCTCTTTCTATATATTTTACCTTTTCCTTCGGGATCATCGGGATTTCGCGCAGGGATTGCCGCAATGTCGACAACGCGACCCATAAAAATAACCGGAGACCATCGTCTAACTTGTCTCTGCTTGAAGATTAAGTAGATCAATGCTGCTTGTACCGGAAGCTAGAAGAAACAATAGAAGTTTTTACCAAATCAAAAGACGCAAAGTATCAATGTTATTGAGCATCTGGGCTGACCAAAGTCAAGAAACCGCTATCTTACAGGGGGAGGGAGGGAGGGTGGGAGGAAAACCGGAAGAGAATCCGGAGAACCTTGGAATGGAAGGAGAGACCCAACAAACTCCACTGACATTTTTAAGCGTAATACCTTGTCCATACATTGAATCCAAGTCCCCAGAAATGAGTGCTAACCACTTCTTATTAAATTACCTGAAGAGTTGCGACGATCCAGTAAGCGTACTGCACAAAGGATCTTGAGTTATTCCTGATCAGCGAAATCCTTGAATATCTACTAAAGTTGAGATTCGACACATTTAAATTATTGGTGGCCAAGTTATTGATAATTTCCTCTGTAAACGTAGTATTTTCTAAAGTCCACCCGAAAATGTTGGATTCAAAATGGCCACCTTCACAAGCGTTTCGTAGAAATGGTTCTGCAATAACTGGACTGAGTAATGCTCCAATACCGTAAAAGAAATGTAGAGTCTAAAGGGAGAAAGAGAAAAAAGACTGATTAAGATGATATTATTTTTTGATACTTTCTCTGGTTTCGTCTCACAATCAAAGACATAGATAGAATGCAACGAGAACAGAAGAAATGCTAATAAAAGGAAGATCTCACCTGTAAACGTGGAGCCACCTGGGGATGAAAAAAATGGAATTATATTGTATAAGGAATTCTCGGTGGATAGTCATTCATCGGTGGGAAGCAGAAGAGTGCCGTGTGCAGAATTCAGTATTGTGAACGCTAGCCTCTCTAAAAATGGCGGTAAAAGATCATGCGACTTATTGCTGCGCAACTGAATGATAGACCTAATTCGTCTTGGTGCAATGTTTTCAGACCACGTCTCATTCCCTAGAGTATTATTTCTTTGTTTAACGGACGGTTGCGCAAAAGAAGACACATGAATATGGATACATCTCTAACAAAGAATCTAACTCTCTAGACAATAAGACGTGGTCTGAAATGGGTAAACATTGCACCAATAGACTCCTGGCAGCACGTCGGAATGCAGCTCAATTTGGAAGACATAAAAATAGGTTTCCAATTGTCATGAGTTTGAAATTCTTTTGTTTTGTAATCCAAATTGAGCTGCTTTGACGTCACATGGGTCTATACGAATTGCGTCTATTATATTATGTCTTGGTTGCAAGCTCTAGACCCTAACCCTAACAGGGAGTCACGTTTTTCTTTCTATCTTAGCCCATCTGAATATGGCGGAAAGGAACTGCAACGTCGTTGCTTGTTTAAGACAAAAAGCAATTATATCATAGACAACCAGTCTTACCGCCATACAGTTAACCATATTAAGTCATGCTGGACAAAATGAACACGTAAAAAATGCGGTATTATTAGCTGCATTACTTGTAGCAAATTCAAATGAAACCATTTCTACGTCAATAATTAATTCACAGTAACCGCAAACACTCATCTTTAATTCACCCGAATAAGTGTTTTGAGGTAAAACAATTAAGTATAAATTGTTGTAAGTAATATTCAAATAATAAACTAGTTTGTTAAAATGACCTTACCTTTTTTCCATGGATTTTGATAAGTACGCTGTTAGCTACTGTATCTATAATTCCCATATTGACTCCAAGGAGAGCAAAAAACGTCAGCATTAAAGAAAATTTTGCACACGCAGGAATAATGGCCAAGGAGGTAGCAATTGACGTCACACACACCAAGAGAATGATGTTACAGTCATACCTAGATAGGAACAGATAGTAAGTAAAGGCAACTTAAACGTAACAGTTATTGTGAATTTTAGACAAGAGAATATGAAGTAATACTTAATATATTCTCTTGTTTTAGTAGATCTACCAAGCAGCGACAGCAAGTTAAGGACCTGATATGAAAATACAGTCATATCTAGATAGGGACATATAACAGTTATTGTAAATAGATCTACCAAGCAGCGACAGCAAGTAAAGGACCTGATATAAGCGTACAGTCATATCTAGATAGGGACATATAACAGTTATGGTAAATAGATCAACCAAGCAGACAGCAAGTAATGGACCTGATATAAGCGTACAGTCATGTCTAGATAGGGACATATAACAGTTATTGTAAATAGATCAACCAAGCAGACTGCAAGTAAAGGACCTGATATAAGCGTACAGTCATGTCTATAAAGGAACCGATAACAGTTCATAATAGATCGTATTCTGCATCGGAATCTTTGTGGTACGTAGCGTCACTAGCTTCAAGTTACAATATTTATTGGCATTCTTATAAATTGTTTCGTCTGTTTCGTCTGATCCAGTTCTAAAATGTTTTTACAATTTTTCTGTAAGAATGGCATTTAGAGCACTATTTGGAGGCCCTTAAAAAAGATTGGTTGTGATAATAAAATGATTAAAATCAACCACTCATCGACAAGCTGGATTTAGAAAAACAATTAGCATGCTGCATATAAGAACTTATGGTACATATGTCTAGAAATTCAACGATACATAATTGGTATTTCCCTAGAAGGTCCTTCGATGATACTAACAGAAAAAAATATTTTTGAGCAAAACTAATTTCATTTTAAAAATACTGAATAGTTTCATCACTCAGCATGACAAACTTTGTCGACCACATTAATTCTGATCTAATCTCCTCTCTGAATATGTGTCAGACAAATGAAAAGATAAATAAATAACCAAAAACATATTCCTATGAATGAAATATACAAATATAATTGGAAACCTTTCTTTTAATGCAGAAAATTATGTTTTGCTGTAAGTTTTACTCTTTAAAAGTATATATACATTCTACGTAAAATATTTTGACATATATATCTACATAAAATACATGAAAAATCTATCTTTGTTTTAAAGTTTACAAAGAACGTTCAGTTATTTCTAGGATCAAGAATTTTTCGCTACCTTTAGTTTAAATCTAGGAGTTAATAACAATAATGATAAAATTTATTTCAAGAGGGAACTGACATAGAACAGTTTAGACTAAGGAATTTAAGGCCCTCAAATTTAAGAAATACAGAGAATTATCAATACCTATCTGCCATGATCCCACCAACGCTCGAGCCAAACAGGGCACTAAGAGCCTGCGAGAAGAAGACCCAGCTAATAACGTTGACAGGTCTTCCTGCAACGCATCCAAGTTCTAGTAATGTCGGCCCAATGACTGACGCAGCCATTCCAAACGTAAGAAACGAGCCACAATAACAGAGAGTTGCTTTGTGACTGCGTAAGAATTCATCTTCATTTCTGTAGTCTCGATTAGCGGGTTGAGATGGTTGGTACGGCTTTCCATTTTCACGCTTGATGGTCGTCTCAAAGATACTTGGGACCTCTCCTTTGAAGATCTGGTCAAGCATTTTTAATGCCCGTGGAATTTGGAAAACTTGTTTGTGGGATAAAAATTCATTTAGAAGCGTTGTTGGGTCGTTTCATGGCTTCTAAACCGGCATTAAATTTTTCACCGTTGATCGTAGATTCCAGTCTTTCGTGACGTCACTAGGTCGTAAGCAAGTCCCTTCTACATGTTGTCTTCGTTAATTGATAAATTCTATAAGTGTGTCAACACCGCCATTGACCAACACAATTTTACTTCCAAGAATATTTACACAAGCCAAGACCTCGGATTCTACTCCCAACATTGATGACGCTTGATCCGAACGGTCGAATGAAAACAGAGAACGCAATGTATCATATTAAACATTTATCTTCCAATCATCAAACTTTTATTGCCACACAAACTTTTCAATAAATAACAAATTCAATAACGCTTCGTATATTTTTCCTGCTTTTTATAACTCTGGTGATATAAAATAAAATAAAATCTGAGGTAGAAAGCTAGCTTCCTATTGTTTCCTGGATATTTACAAATACTATACACAGATTTAATAAGACGCCAAGCCTCATTTTGATAAACATCTGTCATCGATTATAACAATATTTATTTCACTGAATATAATTTTTGCATTTTGTAAGTTTGCTTGCCGTACCGAAGACAATTTGAGTTTCATGAAGAAACACCCTCCGTATTCATTGTCAAAATTGAAAAACTGAGAGTAAAACTTTAAGGATCACGATATTCAGACTCAAAGATTTTTCTAATTGACTTGAAGGTGAACTCGTTAATAATTTATCGATATTCTTTATTCAAATTGCTCAATATTCTACACCAGGTTCTTTGTAATAACACCGAGAAACATATTATATTTTTTAACGATTCCAGAGTATTGTATGGAAACACATGTTTTCCTTTAATTTTAGCTGGTAATTTGAAATGCTAAAATATCAAAATAGCTTCCAAGTTTTTTTCTTATTAGATCAAATAATAAACCTCCCATTGTATATGTCAAATGAAGTTTACTGTGGACGGAGAACATTTATGTTTTTATTCAAGGATTGGTTTGTAGCATTCGACTGAGTATTGGCCTGTGAGTAGAGTCTAGCCATTGGTTGAAGGGTAATTCTCTAGGTTCCCAGCTTTCCCTTCCTCAACGAGACGCCGGTTATTCTTGGCTTCCACGTGACGTCATCAAAAATCTTAAATCCAAAGTAATCACTCCACGAAACTGTTTGTTGAATCTGTTGTTTATACCGTTATAAGAAAAGCTTTAACAAAATATTTGTGTATTATCGATGTCTGGTTTTCGATTTATTACGAGTCCAATAATGTCACGCTATTCTGTCACGCATTTGCGATAATTAATGATAATTAATGAATTTCGATTGAAATAATACGTTTTAAACTTAGTAGATGTTTGTTAACTTTATTTTGATGATTATTGTTATGAAAATATTGAAATAGTTGCAATATAAACATGATTTCCAACCCTTCGTGATTTGGCCGTCATCTTTGTTCCCCCTTAATATAGGACACAAAGATGGCGGATTCATACATTTAAACTAAATTATGAGTATTATAATACACTCTCCAAAATTACTCGATTCTGATTGGACAAGAGGAGTGCAATTAAATCCCAAATTGTACTATGTAGAGTCCCAAGTAAGTTGCTCAATTTTGTTGAGTGTATTATAAACAAAAAAGCGCACCATCTTCTCGTACAATTCGCCTAACGGCTCGTCCAATTTTGAAAACTTTCAAAACATCACTCGTACTTTAAAAATTCCGAATTGTACTAGAGGTCGTGCTATTTCTTACATTAATCAATTGCCCGTAACTCCGTAACTAAAAGACTTCTTTTAGCTTGAAATTTGGCTGAAATATATCGGTTTTCGTTGCTCTTTCGGTCTATGGAAGTTTTGTTGTATATAATTATTGGGAAATTTTTCGATGACGTAGATGGCAGCTAAGAATTCGCTAAATTTTTCGATTTATGAGCTATTCCCGTGTCGATCTATGAGCTAGTACCTGTGTCTCAGGTTTCACTTCGCCCCGCTTAACGACGACGAAAGTAATTCGTTTTTCATGATTTTTTCTAATAGAAAATAGAAACGTATAGAATATTATAAGACTAAGGCCTAGGTCAAACGTCGAGCTTTCCATGCACCGAACTAAATTACATCGAAGAATGCCGCCTCATTATCACCTGATATCCATTGTTTTTAATGAGTTCGGTGCATGGAAAGGTCGACGTTTGACCTAGGCCTAAGGATCCAAGTTTAGTAAAAGCCCTTGTCAGTCAACTGCTTCAAGACAGATCTTTAAACCAGGAAAACACAGCTCGACTTTTGAGAAGAAGATTGCTTAACTGTTTTGAAATGCTGAATGTAAGGGGGGAAATGAGACTTCGTTATTGAAGAAAAAAATAAGAACCATAATTTTCTGGAATTAATAAAAGGCGTTATAAAAATAAAATAAAATATTAAAATATCTAAACTAGATGAAAAGAAAATGTGGAGACCAAAAAAATACTCTTTTAATACGGTGGGCATCGAACCCACGTCAATCAACTTTAAAAGATAATTAATGCAGAAGAACAAAAATAGTGCCTTCATGCCATACCCCGAGACGTCCGCTGGGTCGTCGTATGGACTTCGAACATGATGGCGATTAAGGCCCTCTGCCCTTGGGTGTACGGATTACGCAGGATAGTGTTCTAGCCAAAGCATCAGGGGGGAGACTAGCCGGCCCCCAGACCATATCTACAGCTAATCCCTTGCACTCTGCCACGCACTGGCACGTCGATTTGAAGTGGAAAATAATCTAGTCTATTTGGTTCTTTGTTCTCATGGCTATTGTTGTGCTAATTTCCTGAAATCGTGGCCCAGTGGAAAAAACTTGGGCTTCCAAGAAACTGAGCCAAGGACGTTTAAGGGAAATTAGTACCTGGATGGTTGACCTGAATTATATACTTACGTCAACCGCTGCTTTTTTTCTTTTTTCTTTTAAGATTCTTGGACTATAATATAAACTTTTCCCGCCCCCTTAAATTCACTTTATATAGTGAAACCGATTCTTGCCTACCCAAATGCTTTGAAAATTGTCTGAGCAACAAATTAGCACGTATTTTCACATATTGCATATTTTTTTCTAAATAGTGATAAATAATCAATCAACAAATGGTTCTTCTGGACGATTTTGCGGATTACGTATTTTTAGAGGCGAAAAGAAAGAGGTAGTGGTAATAATAATTTATCTAAATTATATCGCGCAATAATCAATACTAGGATTTTCTTTTGCGCAACACAGTAAATAATATAAATATTCATTTATCATTTAATTCTGCAAAGAACGTGCATGATATAGAAAAAGTACATGCCTGATATGAGACCGTATCTGCACTGCTCATCTGCTCGCGCAGGGTACGATAAAAGGTTTAGAGGGAGTTTGAGCATTTCTTTGCATAATCAAATGATAAACAACTTATCAGTAGGCTAAGCATCTGATACAGCTTTGCATTTTTACTCGTCACTTGTATTTAGGCTCAGTAAAGGCTCGCCAAAATACTCCATGACTCCTAACCTCTATATATCAATATACGATCGAATTAAAATATAGCTTATAAATCATTAGCTATCTAATAGAGTTCTTAAGGTAAATATAAAAATAAAGTATCTAAAAATAAGGTAGGGATATACAATTCGCATGTTGATTTTTATGGAGGGAGTGAAACCGAACAACCCGGAAAAAAGGAGAGAACAAAAAAGGAGAGAACAACACATCAAACAAATTCAACTCACCTGTGATCCAGTCTAAGCTGAGATTTAAATCCCGACTACAGCGGCGAGGAGATTACTAGACTGATCAAAAGATTATGTGCATCTCTATATTACCAATGCACAGCAAAGGATTTTGTGATGATAGTTTTGTACACAATGATTACAGTGATATTTGTTCTGTATATACATGGGAACAATGACAAATAATGCTAATTGAACTGAGTGGAGTTAACCGAATCGAGAAGGTTCATGCTGATTGGTCAGTTATGACTTCGTGACAACAAAATGGCGTCCCTCATAGGAATGTTTCAGCATGTATGCAATATTTTCAACATTAATGAGCTGAGCTTTTATCAGAGTTTTTCAAAGGAATATTCTGCTCAAGTAAGCAGACGTTCGTGGGGAGGGAAACGTTGCGTGACAAACACTAAAGAACGTCTGCGTAGGAGGCTAACTTGTATCCTAAACTTGGTCGTTTACTGATAACTATACAGCTGACTCACTTGTTGTAGTTGATCAGGCGGTCCTAGTTTCATTTGGTTATTGGGGAACAAAAAGGTATCATTTCACGATGATTTCATAAAAGAATTGAAAGCACGACGCACTATTTCATCCATAGGTATTCGGAATAAGCATAGGTAGAATTTGAAATGCATTGCTAATCCATAAAGTAGCTAGCTAGTAGCTAGTAGCTTTTCCCAGTGTAATACGCTAACAGATTCGATGGACCGCCTGATCAGATTCCTTCCTGAGCGACGATTTGCTGGTTTTTGATGGGCTGTCAAAAAGAGATCAAAGGACCTTTTAAATTTTGTCTGGATTGCGATCCCATAATTATATATTTCAATTCACTACAAGTAAAAGAAGGTCAAACCACAACATGGGTTTAAATCCATTTATTGGTCGAATACACAAGTATTTAAGCGTTTCAATTACTTAATTGATTAAGTGATCAGGGTGCATCTTTTGATTGATCGGTGTTTACTGTACCAAAGATGACCATGTCGCCTGGAACGTAAACGTCAGTCAAATGAAACACGTTGCTGCCAGGGAACAGGACTTGTGTGATAGCAAAGGAAGAAATGCTTCGGAAGTTGAAACTCAGACCAGACATGTATCTTTGAGCTTCTGAGGTAATCTTCTTTTTTGCAGCCTTAACTTCAGAGCCCAGCCAGAAACTATCCCATGATGATATACCAGCACTGCTTGCTGAACCCGACCCTTCCTCCTTGTACGATATCGTCTGCTGTTTGTCAATGCTTGGTGCGAAGGTTTTATGTACGATGTAGTAAAGCTTATTGTTTTATACTCAACAGTGTCATGGCAGGATGAAAACCCACAACGGTGATTGGGATATGGAACGCTTACTCGTAAGCCGCTGTTGACCCAATGTACTTGAATCTTTTTACCGTTGCTGATAGATTTAGCTTGAAGGGAGTTTCCAGGAATTGTGAAGGTAAATGGGATATCTCGGTACCTGGCAAAGGGTATCAC